TTATCTCTGCTTCAGTGTTCATTAGGGTGGAAGTTGGATGTAAAACAAACATATGTTTCTTGTTACCAAGCAGCAAAAAAATCCATTGTTTTCGATTTTGCTGATTCAAAATTTAGTTTAAGAAATCAGGCTGCTATAACAAGCAATCCAAAACAATTAAGCATTTCATTTCAACATGTGTTTAAAACACAAGAAACACGTCCAGACAAGCACTGCAAAGTTGTCTGAGGTGCTGCAAACTGAACGTGGTGCATGTGCACCCATTCACTGCACTGGTAATTTGCACCACAGCAGGTTTTTTGGTTGGTTTTTTTTTTTTTTTTTGGGGGGGGGGGTGACAATGGGAGATCCCACTGTCAAAAAATAAATGAATAAATAAAACACCAAGAAAAGCAGTGTGGTGCATGTGGCAACAGTGTGCGCCACCAGAAAGAAGGCCCAGAGCCATGCTGCGTCTGCTGGCCAGGCTCTGGACAGTAGGATCAGTGCCACTGCTGACCCAGGAGGTCCCCAGGACCCCAGTACAGCTGCTAGGGCAAGACCAGGTACTGGCCCCAGCCTCTCCTACCTCACTGGAGACAATTTGCCTCGCACCAACCCCACATGCACAGGCATGCTCAGCAGCAAAAAGCAATAGCACAAATTTGTGCTGCTGCTATTTTTGCTAAAGCAACCATGTGCCCCTGCGTATGGTGACATGCCCAAGAGCTTCAAGTAGAGGATAAGCGGGCTAAACAGGAGTGCAAGCTGAGTTCAAGTTATAACAACCATTGAACTGGAGAAAGGTTAGCTCTGGCTCTTGTCTTAAATTGACACATACAAACAATTTAACTGCATCAGAAAAGCACTACCATTTCTAGCTACAAAAGCATCCCAGTAATTTCTGTACAAATTGTGTAGATTACTTCTATCTAGCTAAATAAAAGATCATTAAAGCTGTAGTTGTTGTTAGGAAACACCACATTTATTGTTCCATGGGCACATAGTTCAGCCCTTTGTGCAAAGATGGTCTTTAGTTACATGCTCCTATACTATTTTTTTTCATAGAACTCCTCCCCTCCTTCAATGAATGAATGTTAAAAAGAAATCAATGATCTTGTCATTCAGTGCTTGGTCTCCAACCAAGTATTTACCATGCAGCATTCAAACTCAGCACAAGATATATTATGCATTTCTTTCTCTTCGCTCTCACTGTAGCAGCTGAGTGCTTCAGGTTTATTATTGATTTTATCTTCACAAAGTCTCTTTGAGATTCCATGACACCATTTACCTTAGCTCTGTACACAGGAAAACACAGATAGATTGTATCTAGTCTGTTCTCTAGTTTGGAATGTACAATTTAGGACACCCAGAGCTTGATTTTTCAAGCTGTTTAGCTTTTATATAGGACTTTGTATGTTCAAGGAACAGCTCCATTTACTTCTATTGAAGCTGCAATTATTCTGCAGGATATATTACATTGAGCATCCAGGAAACAAACAAGTGTGATGTGTATGTACTGACATTTAGGGTCAACTTTTCTCTATACAGCTTGCCTTGCAGTTGGGCCCAGGTGGTACCCATTCCTTGAGTAGCACCCTTCAAAGAATCAGGTTTGCAAACTACTTGTCATTGCAGGCAGCAGAGACAAGAATGGGTTACAAAACGGGCTGGAAGTCAGGAACAGGAAGTTATAGGACTCCTGCATGAACAACACATTTCCCCAGCAGCTGGGGAAGCACAGAAGCAGCAGGAGCGTGGCGGCAGTATGGTGGTTGTAAGCAGGAGCTCCCACTGCTGGTGCTATTGGCGGTGGGGGTGGTGAGTGCTGACTAGGGGTTAGTGATCACCCGCAGACACTGCTGGCAGCAGACAGTGGCAATTGTGGACCACCCGCAGATGCCACTGGCAGCATCAGGGGTGGGGTGAATGGCAACTGCCCGTAGGCACCACCGACAGTGTCAGCAACGCCTTTTTTGTAGGAAGTGTACCGCCATGGGCAGGGGGTGCATATACACCTGTGTGCACCCCCTACGCATCTCCCCTGGAGTCTTGCTTCCAGCCTATAGCACCCAAACAAGCTCCATATGCAATGCAAGGACAGGTGGAAGCTTAATGTGTAATTAAGAAGCTAATGACACAGCCTGAAGTTCAGCATTGCTGCTGGGGTCAGGTTAGACTCCTGGTAGGGCTCAGTACTAAACTTTTTCAATGTTAATGGTTGGCATTTATGGGGTTGATGCTGAAGAACAGTATAGATGTACCCTTAAGTGACCAGCTGGGAACATACCAGGTTTCAGACGGTCATAACTTAACCTAATTCGTAAAATTTTGGGAACATTACGGTTCAGTTTCACACAGAAACTCTGTATAGAGAAAGAGATAAAAATGCTATTCTCCTTGGTGGCATCCAACTTCACTACAAGACCATCCTTTCCACTCTTCCACTACATAACTTGCAATTTCTGCTACAATTAAGGCAAAGAGTCTACAAACAAGACTGAACCATTCCCAAAGATCTACCCATCTTGTGCATGGAAGAAAGGATGGACCCACCAGAAAAAAGGTGCACGCACAAAGGGAGTCAAGGCTATACTGGTAACCATGCATCTAGCATTTTATAACTTGTGAATGTTTGACTGCAGTCTTACACCTTCACATTCTTTAAAACATCTCTCCCACTCAACCCCCCCCCCCCTTTTTTTTTTTTTAAAAGAATGAACAGGGAAGTTTAAAAGAAAAAAAACCTGTCGTGAGAAACCATTTTGACCTTCAATTTCAAACTCTGCATACCTGGTCCACTGAAGAACCCCATCTGGATTCAGCATAGGGCAAGTGACATCACAGGTCTAGCAGAACCCTCTACACTTGAGAAAGAGTAACTTCTAGCACCAACAGGTTGTGTGTACAGGCTAAGCAGAGGGGATAAGATGGATACCTTGGCAGTGAGTTTTATCAGCTATCTGCTGACAGCAGAAGAATGCAAAGACTAGTTTTGGAGAGGTGTGCAATACTTTAAGGAACAAGCCTCCACACGAGCTGTGCTCTCCTGGTCCCTTGTTCCATGTCCTAGCTCCTCCCTTCATCCTAAGTTTCAGAAGCTCATAACAGTCCAATTTATAAAATTACGTGGGTCAGCAAAAGCACATGCGAAACAGCTCCAAGACACAGAAGTTACCAAGGATTCTCAACTAAATGGATGCAAAGATTATTTTTAACATAGCAATATTTTCTTTCAATCCTTGTTCTGAGGCACAGCTGAAACTTTCCAAAACACATCAGTCTGAGGCAGTTAGACATGTTCAGACCAAGTTATAGGTGACTGAAGATATGACTTCATGGAGAATGTCACAGACAATCCTATTGTAAGAGTTAACACAGTTCAAAAGGCTGGTAAATTTGTCTTTTGACATTTAAATACTGTCCTTATCTACTGCAGACCAGGTTTTCAAGCAAAACTACTAACTAGTAGTTAGTGTGTCAGTTTGTAGGAGTCACCTTTCAAAGGGCGACCCCTCAGCACTTTCCAGGAGGTCAGGACACATTAAAGTTGTCTCGTTTTTGTTTTATAAAGCATTGCAGTAATTAACATCAGTCAGACTAATACACTGCAATACCAAAGAGAAACCAAGAGATTTTAGCTTAAAACCCAAGTATCTGAACATCTATTTAAATTAATCATCCTACACTTTAATTTTTTAATTGGGCACCTTGTCTCCAGCCTGCTGAAGGAATTTAAGTTCTACTTCTGAAATTCCTAAAACAGACAAATATAGACAAGACACTCATATACTTCTGTTTTAGGAGTTTGATAAACTTTCCTTATATCAGAGAATAATAAATAATGAACTTACTTTCCATGTGAAGACTACTTTAACTATCAAGAATGATTTCCTTGTGGAAAATAACAACAACAAATCACTGAATACTTTCACTAAAGAAACAACTGAAATTGTATGCGATGGTAAGGAGTTTCAGTACAGTACAATAATTTTTTTCTCCCCACACTTCTAGTCTGAGGCTTGTACACAAATCTGCAGATGGATCTTGGCTACTTAAATTTATCTATTAAAATGTTTTACCATAAAGTGTGAAGTTCTGAATTACTCATCTAAGGGTCATTATATAAAGCGGGTAACTGAAGTCTCTCTCCACCCAGTCACCCAACAGGGCAGGGCCACTTCTCATAAGACCAGTCCAACGTGCAGTTCATCAGGTCACACTAAATATTAACATCAGACTTTGATCATCCCAAATTTCCTGTATGTTTTTTTGTTTGTTTGTTTGTTTTTTAAAGAAAATTATATATATCATCCTTGCCCTGCATCCTGTTATAAGGCAGGAAGCAAGCTTCTGATTATTCCTCGTACATTTCAGGTACCTGGCTTTAAGAAGAAGGCAAGTTTTGGCACAAAACTGACAGAAGGTTTTTGATCCATCATTAGCTTTGAGATTCCAAAAAAAGCAGAACTTACAAATGCAAATACTAACTTCATTGATCTCGAGATCTTTGATACTTAAACTGTTAATGTAACAACCTTTGTGATCAACCAATTTCTAAAGGCCTACTTTTGAACAAAGGGAGAGGAAGATCTGTATCATTAACTTAGTTTCAGAAAGGGTTTCAGAGTATACAATTTTACATTCTTAAGACTTTCTAGTCCATGTTACTAAATTAAATGCACCCTTTCTACTCGCTACAGAAGATTAAGTTGAGGCAGTTCTTTATTTTGTGATTAACAAAGTACTGAAATTCCATTATTGGAAAACTCCATCTACACAAATTTTGTGATGCTATTGAATAAGCAATCGAGCATGTATCATAATACTTTTATCTTGAAGGGAGAGAGGCAAATAAGGTTATAACTTCTGAAGAAGAATCCTAACCAAAAAAGCAGGCATAAACACCCAAGATTCATTTACCTACTCTTCCAGCTGCAGGAAACAGCTGTACTATGACAAGGGTATGAATCAAGAGGCTGGAATGAAGATTACATATCACCACACTTACGTGTAATGCATCCGATCATAGGAATGGTTTATTACAATTTACAGACCTATGTTCAAAGAAATCTTGCAAGTAGATTTTGTATTCTGACATGTTTATTTTGGTTGGATGAACAAATTTATTGAACAAGCTGAATCAAGTGTTTCTCTATCCTCACATTTTCCTCCCAGTAGATTTCTTCAATAACCATATCTTTTACAATATTTATTAGAAAGAAAACCAGCAGTTTGCACGAAGGATTTTAAGAGCAGTTACTTGTTCTTCCACGCTTCTTTTTCAAGCCGTTCACGGATAACCTCTTTCAGATAGGGCTGAAGATAAGGCTGATCCTGAAAAAAAGAAGAGATTATAGGAAATTTCACTACACTCATACACACATATATACATACACATCTCCTTTTTAGTCACACTTCCAGAGTCCCAGGGGTGCTTATTTTAATTTGTGTTTGTATTTAAAAAAAATAAAAATAAATAAAATAATCTCAGGTTCCTATCAAACCCTGTTCACTTTTAAAAAAAAGTAAAGAAGAGAATTTTCTAGCTACATCTACAGCTTTATATCCAATGATTAAGCTGCATCCTTAACTTCTTCCTGTTCCTCCATTATTACCAGAGCAAATGCTTTCAGCTACATCTCTGCAACCCGACTAACATGGGCTCTGCCCGCTTGCAGGATTTCTGATAATTGAGGCTGGCGTATTACTTGCTTGCTCAATTCAAAATATGCCCAAGTGACAACCAGGCTCAGATTATCAATACTACATTCGGGAAACTTCTTCCTTGTTCAGATGGGTTCAGTTATTTCATGGGCAGGTTCAAAATCTACAAATTAAATCCCATTAAAATGCTTGCACCGAACACTTGTTTTTGTATTGCTGAAACGCATTTTTTTTTGTACTAAAGTATTAGATGTCTCTGAGTTTTACTCTCGCCCAATAATACATTCCTTAAATTGCAGCAACAGCAGCATCCAGCATAAATCCACAAATATGCTCAACAGTTGTGAATCTGTCAAACAAGTGTTCAATTACTTTAGCAATCTATTGGATACACTGGATGTTGAGCTCTGTACCTTGGGCTAGATCCAAAAAAAGAACTTTCTTGGACATGGGTGCCTCAATTCCATCTGTATGATTTCAAAAGCTCCAGCTAAGCTGCCACCCACTCCTAGGGGCACCCAAGCTCACTAAGTGGCTCCCTCTTTAACTTCTTTTTTTTTCCCCTAGGGATCTAGAATTATGTTCTTGAGCATGTAACTAAGGACCTACCTCCCACCTGATCCTAATCCATAAACTAAGTGGATAAGTGCCTAAATTCCCTGTAGGACCCAATCTAGTAGGCATTAAAACATGCCATCTGATCCCTAGCCACATTCATGTTCTTACCCTGTGGAAAATGGAAATTTGATCTATAGCAGAGTACCCCTCAGTGAAAGACAGCAAACTACCAGTGTCCAGATTTCATCTACTGAGGCAAGAAGCAGTTACTATTGGATCAGCTGATTTAATATGCAGTCCCAACCTCCTTAATATCACAGTTACATGTTCATATGCCCATGCTCTCAAAGCAGGCCAAACACACTGACAGGCTCAGGTTCTTCCTAAAACACACTGGTAGCTGTGCTTAATATAGAGGGAAAAAGAAGGGGGATGTGGTAGCACCACCTCCTTTACTGATGTCCAGTGGTCGAGTAGGTGTAAACAGACATCATCTTTATGCCACTATAAAAAAATTGCAGTGGCACAAACACCAAGCAAGTTGATATGGTCCATGCCCCTTGTTCCACCACATATGACCAAAGTTTGTGGCTGCAATACTAGCAGTACGATTTTGCCACTATTTTCTGTTTGACATCTATTTGCTTTAAGGCAGGAAAGCACAGACAGCCTGCAGTTGCCCATATTCTCAAGCCACACTGGGCAGGCACTCCTGAGGCTTCAGAGGCCCAAACCTCCACATCCCAGGAATCCCCCTTCCTGGGGCATGCTGGAATGGGCCCCCGAGACCCTGTGGGTGCCTACTTCTGTTCCAGTCTGGCATTCCCCAGGTGCACACTAATACTCTGGTGTGGACCCAGGGCTGAGACCACCAATCAGTTAACTGGCAGTCCCAGCCCCAGGACCGCACCAGAGCTAGCTTTTCCCCACTTAGAAATGTGCAGAGATTCCCTAGGGCACATCTCTGAAAGCAAATAATACATTGCTTGTTGTCCTGCAGGATGAATGGGTGACACACATTTCACCCAATGAAGTGTATCAGCTGTGCCAGGACACATCCCAGCACAGATAATCCACTTTATTTGGCAATGTCTATTTATACCCAGAAAGTATCCAGGAAGTAGAAATCCAGCTTCAATTCAATTTACTTCAATTTATGGAGGATTCTGGCTGAAAGCCATGCTCCCGAAAACAATATAAATTTATATTATGGTTGTATGCCTGTTAAGCAAAAATAACAGAACAGCTTCAATTCTGGAAAAGGGCCAACGTGGTCCCTATTTTCAAGAAGGGGAGGAAGGAGGACCTGGGTAATTATAGGCCAGTTAGCCTTACCTCTAATCTCAGTAAGACCTTAGAAAAAAAAAAAAAAAATCATAAAGGACCATATTAGCAGGGGACCACTGAGTCACACTATGGTAAGGGGCAACCAGAATAGGCTTATAGCAGGCAGACCCTGCCTGACTAACCTGGTGTCTTTTTATGACCAGATCACAAAGTGCTTAGATGTAAGCGTGGAAGTAGATATTATTTACCTGGATTTTGAAAAGGCTTGACAGTGTTGCACCCAATTCTTATGAGCCAACTGAGTAGATGTGATGTGGATTTTTTCACAGTAAGGTGGGTGAAAAGCTGGCTCATGGGATGCACCCAGAGAGTGGTAGTGGATGGGTCGGTTTCCCCCTAGAGGGATGTGGGCAGTGGTGTCTCCCAAGGCTCTGTCCTTGGATCAGTGCTGTTTAGTATCTTCATCAGTGATTTGGATGAAGGTGTTGAAAGCACCTTATCCAAATTTTCAGACGACACTAAACTATAGGGTACAGTTAACACACTGGAGGGCAGGGAGTGAATTCAGGCAGATGTGGACAGACTGGGGAACTGGGCGGATCAGAATAGGATGCAATTTAACAAGGATAAATGCGAGGTGCTGCACCTGGGGAGAAAGTCTTCAGCACACCTATAGATTGGGAGGTACCATTCTGAGCACCACAACAGTGGAAACAGATCTTGGAGTCCTGGTTGATGCAAAAATAAACTTGAGCCGCCACTGTGATGAAGCAATAAGCAAGGCTAACCGCACTCTTTCTTGCATCAGCAGGTGCATCATGAGCAGGTCTAGGGAAGTGCTAATTCCCCTCTATGAGGCATTGGTGAGGCCACAGATGGAGTACTGCATTCAGCTTTGGGCGCCACACTTCAAGAGGAATGTGGATAACCTTGAGAGGAGGGCTACTCATATGGTTGAGGGCCTGCAGGTAAGACCCTATGAAGACAGACTGAGGAACTTGAATCTCTTCAGCCTCCGCAAGAGAAGGCTGAGAGGTAATCTTGTGGCTGTCTACAGACTCATTGGGGGGGGGGCCCAGCAGGGAATAGGGGACAATCTGTTTACCAGGGCTCCCCCTTGGGGTTACCAGAAATAATGGCCACAGACTCATTGGGGGGGGGGCCCAGCAGGGAATAGGGGACAATCTGTTTACCAGGGCTCCCCCTTGGGGTTACCAGAAATAATGGCCACAAACTGAAGGAGAATAGATTTAGATTGGACATAAAGAAATTCTTTATGGTGAGGGTTGCCAAAATATGGAATGGGCTTCCAAGGGAGGTGGTATTTTCCCCTACCTTGGAGATGTTCAAGAAGAGATTGGATAGGCATCTGGATGGGGTTACTTAACCCCAGCGCTCTTTCCTGCCTGGAGCAGGGGGTCGGACCCGATTATCTGCCAGGTCCCTTCCGACCCTAGAAATCTATGAAATTCTCTCTTCAGCCTGAAGGCATTCAAATCCCTTGCGTGCCCTAGCCGTCAGGCTAGAGTCGTGCCCCTTCTTCGGTCCAGAGGCCTACTTTTTCTGCACTGAGACATCTCCAATATAAGGAGTGAAAAATGCTCCCACCACAGAAAGTCTAAGAGGATTCCCACTGGCCAGCTATAGACAGCCCCCTGGCTCAGTACGCTGACTAACTCTCCACATGCACTTTACTGGGATCCCATTACTTTACAAGGATTCTGGGTTATGCACTACACCTGACCCCAGAGTGCAAGTCCTTAACTGAATCAAGCACCTAATTCATAAGCAATTCCAGTCTTCCTTCCCAAACTGTGCATTCCCCACCAGGATAACAGTAGGGCACCAGAGCTACTTTGTGTGGTGCATTATGGGAGTGACATGCACTATAGTCTCCTGTATGGATCTGTGCTCCTCACTCGTTGTCTGCGACCTGTGTTTCTGTACTTGCCATCCCCATTATGATAGTGCCCTGTGCTTGTGTGTACTGTCTGCTGTTGGCGAGTAGCAAAATTGTCTTGTACAAGTGGTAGAAGTAGGTCTGGGGGTCAGTACAGTTGAGGTCTGTGAAGCATAGGTGTGGCTGTAGGGGTGGAAGGAGGCCATGAACAGCCCTTAAGGCAACTGGTGTCCTGGGGCAGGAACAGAGCCAGGAGGGGTAGGACTGGAATCAGCTGTGTCTGGGAGGCTGAAGAATAGACAAGGGATCACTCTGGGACCCTGGAGCAGCCTCCCTTTTTACAATCAAATAATTTCATCAAGGCATGGCAGATGGGCGGAAAAGAAGTCTATCTGAGGAGCCAGAGTGGGGCAGGAGCCATGTGACCACCAGGGGCATCACTACTGCCCCTGGGGACCGATCCGGTCATACTTGCATTATGCTATGATCCTGCAAGCTAAAGGTGGGATTCATACAGTTATCACGGTAGAATAGCTATAAATAACATGTGTGCCCTTATTGGCAACTGTGCATTATTTAAAATGACCTTTGAATAGTTACGTATACCCAGCATAGGCTAGAGCAAGGGGGCATACCAGACCACAGTGTGTGCACCGGATCCAGCTACCCCTCAGCACGCAGCAGGGTTGGCATGGTACAGTGGCCAGACTCCACTGCCCAACAGCCTTGGTAGTTCTTTCCAGCTGCTGCCAGGCCCAGCCCCGCTCCCCAGGCACCCCAGTCCATCTGCCTTGCACCCACTGCCAGGGTTGGGACCCATGCGAGCTGGGCACAGTGTTCAAGAGTGTTATGGGCAGGCGAAGCCGAGATCACAGGGTGAGATGGTGACAGCATGGGGCCTAAGCCTGGGGCAGAGCCACAATCT